TCTTTCCCCTCTTCCTCACGTATCATTGCCAGAGAATAAACTGCTCACCAATATTAGCCATGGTTAGAGCATTTTGTTTTGTCTTATAGTGGCATTTACCATGTGTTAATTTACTAAAACGAACTACAACCACGTGGACAGCTCTGTAATCACACACTGCATTATGTCTTACTCCTACAAATTATCAGGGAGCATATTGCAATTATGGATTATTACTGAAACGAAGCTCTTAGAGCAAGTCAGGGTAACTACAGGAAGGAGATGTCAGAACACACAGCTTAAAAAACAAAAGCCTGTATGACACTGCACTAATGCTCTCCATCAGACAGAAAAAGTTACTGAAAAAAAAAGGAGCCCACTTTAAAAAGCCTGTTACAGTGTCTCCTGCCCAACAAAATATTCAAGCCAACACATCCAGCAGCAAACAGAGAGCAGAACAGAAACAAAACAAACGCAGCAATGGGGAAAAATGTGAAAGAAGTGGTGAGGGAGAAGAACAATCAAATATTCTAAATCAAAGCCCAAGATGCACCCACCTCGAAATGCGTTACACACAGGACAGCAGTGTAACACCAGCCCCCAAAACACCAGGATGTAAATACATGCACTTTATTACTACTTCTAAGATTTATTTTTACATTATTTTTACAGCTCCTGCAAGAAACAACATGTGCATTCATTCCCTCTGCTGGTCCTGCTCTAACAGTGAAGCTCTCCCCAAGGCTCAGTGGCTGTCAATGGCAGTTGTCTGAGCAAATACTTTAGTGTTATTTTTCTAAGCATTCGAAAGGGAGAGCTTTCAAATTATATGCAACTTGAATAAAGAGTTTTCCTTGGATTTCTCTTCTTAATGTTGTTTATTTTTCTCTTCAATTCTCGACAAGAACCTGCCTATTTATTCTCCTGAAGCTTGCTAGCTTGAAGTCAAGAGTTTGTCTTGCTCCTACCCTAGAAAACTTTCATCCTCTTATTTTCCCCAGTGTAAACAGTGCTAGATAAGAGTCACACTTAATGTTGGTTCCCCTTTCACTACCCTTGGGGGCATGGAAAGAAGAGGGGAAGGAAGGAGAGAGAAAACTGATTTGACACATATAAGAAAATACCCTCCATTCATACATATCATACACGTCACATTCATATCATCATGTCACATTCATACATATTTACCCTCTGTTTTAATAAGTTGAAACATTTACAGAAATACCTCAGAGGGATTTGCTCACAAGGAATCAGTTACTGGCCACCCAGATGGTACAGTCAAAC